CATCGAGCATCTGTCTCTCCAGACTCTGCCCATTCCAGTCCCTGGTAGGGGGCATTTTTGCGAGGCTCTCTCCCATCAAGCAGTGGCAGCCGGGGTATGAGGGGGCCCACCTAAACGGCCTGTGGGCCATCTCATCTCCCTGGAGACATAGACAGAGAATCATGGAGGACCTGAGCTGCCAAAGAACACAGGAGTGGCTGTCAGTGCAGGCAAGAGAAGCAAGGAAACCAGAGCCCACCTCCCTCTCCCCAGCCCACCTCTGCCCAGTGCTTCTCCAGCCTGATCTCAGGTCCTCGGACCAGGGCTGGAACTCCTAAATCGGCATTTTAGAATTGGGCTACAATATGAGCTCTCTTTTCAGACTCTCCAAAATGCATCTTGCAGCCCCTTCCGGAGCAAGGTTTCTTCTAAACTGTTATTTTATGCTTCTAAAATAAGCCATTTTCCCAGAAGACAGTGCCATAGATTGACAGAGCCAAAACACATGCTGGAGAAGACCTCCCATGACCTTCTTTTGAGAGAGGAGGGGATTCAGGCTGTCTATGAGGTTCTGCTTCTCTTGGGGTCAAGGCAAGGGGGCCCAGGGGATGTCCACTTGATTATCTGTCCCACAGGAACATGTGTCTCCCATGTTGGTTGATGCCCAGGCAGTCAGTGTCTTGTATGAGAATTCTCACTACTTTTATAGAATAGCAATTATAGAATAAGGTTCTATCCTTATCTTTTAGTCTCTCTTTGGTGGTTTTCTTTCTTTGTTTTTTAAATAGACTTGCAGGGTCTAGCAGACACTCCAAAGTTATACTTACTAGCCATTATAACATTTTTCTATTATTGCTATTTTTTTCACTCTTAAAGTTATAACACAAGTATTCTGCCTTGTGACTATGTATATGAAAATACTTTAAAAAAAATAAGCTGCATATTTTTATATAGGAAGATATTTATGCTAGAGTGCTAAGAGCAAAGAGTTTACAAAATAGCATGTATCCTTTGATCTCATATTCATTCTTTTTCAGACATTATAAAACCTGAAAGACTGGTCATTAGAATGCCATGGTAGTTATTTCTAGAAGGGCCAGATTACAGGGCTTTCCCCTCCTTCTTTCTTATAAAATTATGCATAGTGTTCAATTTCTTCCATAATTAAATACATTGATGCTTTCCATTTTCAATGAACATGGAAAGAACACTCCTCAAGCAGGTTGCAGGACACTTCTCCCTTGTTCATTTCTCCTTAAAGTCAGTTTGGGAGCATGAGTTTTGCCCACCCCACCGAAGATCTCTGGACACCCACTGGTGTCATGAAATCCGTGATAAAAGCCTGCCGCTGAGATCGGCACCTTCTTTTCAAGTCCCAGAAACTGAAACTCCGTGAGGTATTTGTCTGACTTAATCATCTCGTGCAGTCTACCTGTGGGCTCTTACCTGCAGCACTTTCCTCTGAGGAAGGAAAGGTCTTTCTGCCTCTCCCTGGTAGGGATCCCTCACTCGTCCTGCGCTGGCCAGCCTTCCCAGCCCTCTCCTGCTGCACTGGCTGCCCCAGGGGAATTGATCACACCCCACCCCACTGCGTCTACCTCACACCTCGAGAGACACACTGAGCATGAGTTGCCAAGCTGTCTCCCCTATTCAGATAGAAGCCCTTGAGGACAACTGATACACTGGGTGGCTGTGATGTCAGCTCAGGACCCGTTGGGTTAGTAAATGTTCTAGATTCGTGAATCCATCTGGCAGACCTTGCTCGGCTCCCCAGAGCAAATCTGGTTACAGGTGAGCAGCTCAGAAGGAAGGGGGTGTTTCAGAGTCATCGGGCTGGAATCACAAATATTAAAATCATGCTTCAAAATCTCCCAAATCTCCCATGAGGTTCAGTATGTGGAGTTTTGTGAGTAAAACCCACTTTTATAATACGCAGGTACGAATTTATAAAATATATAAGAAGATACAGTATATGATAAAACGAGAGAGAGAAGAGATAGCCATCTAGCACACGTAAGAGAGAGAAAGCAAGCCATGTCTGATCTGACTTGTGAAAATTAAATATCACTACCCTGTATGAATTCCCATGTCCTTAGAGCACCTTGAGCTTTCATTATGGCTTGTATCACACTGTTTTATAGTTGTTTGTCTACATGCCTGTCACTCCCATGTTTTCCCTTATGTTCTCAAGAGCTTAGCCCAGTACCTACCGCAGCTCAGTAATGATACATAACCCTTACGGAGAACTTATTATGTGTCAAGCGCTCTAATAGGTGTGTGTATGTTATCTCATGTTATACTTCAACAACGCTAAGAAGATTACTATCCTAATTTTACAGAGCGATTAACTAACTTACATAAAGTGACCCAAGTAGTCTGGGAAAAGCTAGGATTCAAACACAAGTCTTTTCTGCCACCAAATCCCATTCTATGACCATTGTACTATTCTGTATCTCCATTATAAAAAATCAGATTTAATGGAATATTTGCTAATCCATAATCACTTAATAGGGAACCTTGATATAAGAACGTGCTAGAAAAATTAATAACAAAGGTGATCAATTTGAGATAGTAAGAAGAACTTATTTATTAAAGTCTAATCAGAAACAAAAATAGCATCAGAAAATACAGTGCAAGGAGAAATAGTCAATTTAAAAAAATGATTGCGGAATGCCTGGATGACTCAGTCGGTTAAGCGTCTGCCTTCGGCTCAGGTCATGATCTTGGGGTCCTGGGATCAAGTCCCGCATCAGTGTCCTTGCTCAGTGGGGAGCCTGCTTCTCCCACCGCCTGCCACATCCCCCTGCTTGTGCTCTCTCTCTCTCTCTTTCTCTGACAAATAAGTAAATAAAATCTTAAAAAAGAAAACGATTGCCCAGCATCCTTTGGTAACACATCCATTCTTGAAGCAGAAGTATTGAACGTGTAGGAACAACAGCTACTGTATGAAAAAAAGCACAAATCCAAATGGATAGAAGATACTAAGGCACGCTGGGAGTGGCTGAGTAGTGTTAGGTATATTTGTTTATGTCCCAGGGTGACAGAAAAATGGTAGGTAGCATCAATCAGGACAGAGAGGAAAGCATCAAATATGTTTATTAACGTAGCTTATTTTCAACAGGGAAGGACCCAGCCAGGGATTGGAAATCAGAATCCCAAGACCCTTTCTGCCTCTCCTGCAGTTAATTTCAGGAACTCGGGTACGTCCCTGAAGCGCAGGTTACCCACCCTTGAACGTGGGATAAATGAAGAGTTCCCTGGTTGTTGGTAGGCAGCCGTATGCTTCTTTTCTCATGCGCACCTCCAGTGGTCCTATCACAGGAACCACGGTGTGCGGCAGAGCACAGAGGAAGGCAGCCTGGCTCCCCCAGCCACAGCTCACCTGCATGAAATGGATGCAGGAGTCATTGAGTTTCCCCAGAATAGGATGTTGGCGAGGCGGCCGCCATGCTCGCTAAGATGACTCTCTTGCAAAACATGGGGCACATGGGACCAAAAGTTAGGAGTCCTTAAAACAAATATTCATAGACTACATGTGCATTTTCCCTATTTATTAAATATGTATCATTCATATATACATATATATACACATACACACACACATACACACACACACACACACACACACACACACATATCACACCCCTCAGCGCTCTGGTGTAAGCAAAATTCACAGCTTCTTGTATTTCATACTTTGTGCTTGGGTGAATTAGCTAAACATAGAAAATGTTCAAAAATAGCTTCTGGATCCACTTGAAAGGCACTAGAGGTTTGCACTTGCCCAGGGCAGTGACTAGAATACAGAAACCTGCCGGGGGGATGGGGGGGTGGGTTAAGAATCAGGCAGGAGAGGAAAGGATGCCCGGATCCCAGAATGCCAGAGAGGCTGAGGATCCAGTCCGTGATCTGCACATGTCCCTCTGCCTGTCCCTTTCTCTCCTGCAGCCTCTGTTTTAACTACTGGACCCTTCCCAGCATGGCAGAGAGAGGGGAAAGAAAGAACTTGAAAACCACATTGATTAGTGTTGCTTCTTGTTAGTAGTTGTGAGAAAATATTTAAGAAAAGAAAAAAAAAAGGAAGGTGAAAGTTCTAAATATGTAAAGATTTGCAGGTGCCTGGAGAATTTAGGTACCTTACGCTCGCTCCTGCCACTGCCAGCCCAGACTCCATCCGGCAAAATGGTAAGACAGACATCGAGATCAATCCCACGGCCTCCCACGTCAGCGGAGTTCACTAGATGGGGGTTGGTTCCGTGCCACTTCTTGAAGACCACCTATAAATCCGTTCCCAGAAGTGGCAGGTATTTGAAAAAACACTGACAGTCGAGAATGTTTGGGAAGCAGAAGCAGAGCTGAAGAAACTGATTTAAACGATGAGATTTACAGACGTGTCCCTGACAATAACTATTCAACTCTCCACATCTGTGGTGGAAGTGAATCTTCCTTTCTTTCGGTTCCAATGATATTTATCAAGCAAGCCCTTTAGGCCAGACTGCATGCCGCCACCACGGGGCGGTCTCCATACCATCTAGTCGGAGAAATCACTGAGGAAAAGCCTAGGAAGCTGGTGTCATCCTTGAACACGAAAGATAGGCGGGAAACTCTGCACCGAAACTAGAAAATGAGACCATGAACGGGATGCCGGCTGCAGCTGGAACGCAAAGCGTGACCTGGATTCGTGGCTTGAACGCGGACTTGGGGAACAGCCCCTGTTCGACCACCAGGTCACTGGCGCTTTGAGGAAGTCAGGTTGCCTTTCTGCCTCAACATCTTTATATGTAAAATCAAAGGGTTTGCTTTATGTATTGTCTTTTGGCTAATTATTTACCCCACACTCCCCGAGAGCAAAGTTCTGCATTCGCAGGAAGCAGGGATTCTACGAAATGTACATGAAAGCGCTCAGAAAAGGGTCTGAAGGCACTGCTGTAACTGTGAACGATTTGCCCGTTCATGTTTCCAGGACACTATGCAATCCACAGACCTAAGAAACAGACTCGCGTACCAAGGGGAAGACAAGTTACCTGGCAGAGAGTCAGTGGAAACCGCGGGGCATCTTCCTGCCCGTGACAGTGGAGGGGATACTGAGGTGTCTCCATTGGGCACTCAGGTCACGGGAAAGGGGAAGAAAATTAAAGTTTAGAGGCTGACAAACGAGAGGAACCAAGAGGTCTCAGCAGAAGAGCCTGAGAACCGTTTCACTGCCCTGCCATTTCGTAGAATCTTTTCAGAGCAGGCTGGCATTGTAAATGCTGCCACATTCCAACCCTCGAGCGTAATAGATGAGGAAACCGAGACCAGAAAAACGCAGGGACTCACCCAGCGGAGCGGCGGCAGGACCAGGCCTGGAATTCCCTCACGTCTCCTGACTCCCAGGCAGCCTCTCCCCAACTGCAATAAAGCTTCCTGCTTTTAGAGAGACGGTTGTCGTTTGGTTATACATTGCTGAGCTAGGATTTTGCCTAGCCCAGGAAGGAGGTTATTTTGAAATTTAGAAAAAGAGAGAGCACAGGGGCACCGGGCTGGCTCAGTCCGTGGAGCACACGACTCTTGATCTCCAGATGGTTAAGTTCGAGCCCCACGCTGGGAGGAGAGAGTACTTAAAAATAAACTCTTTAGGGGGTGCCTGGGTGGCTCAGTTGGTTAAGCATCCAACTCTTGGTTTCAGCTCAGGTCATGATCTCAGTCGTGAGATCAACCCCTATAGTGGGCTCCCACTTGATGTGGAGTCTGCTTGAGATTCTCTCTCTGTGTGCCCCTCCTCGCCCTCTTGTGTGCACACATGTTCTCTCTCAAAAAATTAATTAAATTAGGTGTGGCTCAGTCCGTTAAGTGCCTGCCTTTGGCTCAGATCATGATCTCAGGGTCCTGGGATCAATCGAGCCTGTGTCTGGCTTCCTGCTCAGCAGGGAGCCTGCTTCCCTTCCTCTCTCTCTGCCTGCCTCTCGGCCTACTTGTGATCTCTCTCTGTCAAATAAATAAATAAAATAAAATAAAATAAAAACAAGAGAGAGAAAGGGGTGCCAGGGTGGCTCAGTTCATTAAGCAACTGCCTTCAGCTCAGGTCATGATCCTAGAGTCCTAGCATTGAGCCCCGCATCAGGCTCCCTGCTTGGTGGGGAGCCTGCCTCTCCCTCTGCCTGCTGCTCTCCTTGCTCGGACTCTCTCACTCTCTCTCTCTCTGTCAAATAAATAAATATCATCTCTAAAAAGAGAGAGAGACAAAGAACAAATTCTCCAAACTATGAATAGAGCCATACAAATTACACAGTAGATGACTAAAGAAAAGTTTTAAATCATGAAGGCCTCTAAAAAAAATCAGTTAGATGCGAAACAGGAGATGCATAGAAAGCTTTTTGGCAGTAGGGAGGCAAAGCCAGCATTCTTTCTATTATAAATGCCACCACTGCTCTTAAAAAAATATGAGACAACAAATTTCAGTGCTAGAAGGCTGGACCTCAGATTTTCTAACCTGCCGTTGGTCATGCATGACACACTTTGGGCAAATTGTGGTCACCACCATGGGAACCAGAGAAACAGGCAAGCTGGTCAAACGATCCACGGTAACCTGGAAGGTAAATCCAGGGCCTTCCATGATACTAAGGGGAGAGAGGAACAGTGACTGCCCACCAACCTTGGTAATGACCCTTCCGTCTGCTGGCCCCAATAGCTGGAAGACAGCAGACCCCTCCCCGGCTTCTGTGAGCACCCCAGCAGAGACTGTAGCACCTCCAGGGGCCTCCCATGTGAAGGGGCCCAAGTACAGGCTCCCATGTCCAAGCCCCACCCTTGCCATGTAAGCCGTGTGACTTGAAGCAAATTGTCTCAGTTTCCCCACTATGAAAGATAATGGTATTGTCTACCTCGCACTGTTGAGATGAGGAATTTTTTCAGTTACTGTGCGTGAAGCACTTAGGACAAGGCTTGGCATATAGAAAACATTCCACCACAGGGAGCCACCATTGTTAGCTATCACCGAGGCCAGAGCATCTCTGCTCTAAATGCTAACCAGGGGCACCAGAGTGGCTCAGTCGGCTGAGCGTGTGGCTCTTGATTTCAGCTCAGGTCATGATCTCAGGGTCCTGGGATTGAGCCCCGCATGGGGTTGGTACTCAGTGCCGAGTCTGCTTGGAATTCTCTCCTTCTGCCCCTCCCCACCAGCTTGCATGTGCACCTGCTCGCTTACTCTCTCTCTCTCTCACAGATAAACAAATGAATTAAAAGAAAAAACAAAACAAAAAACCAGGGCACCTGGGTTACTCAGTCCATTATCTGTCTGCCTTCCGCTCAGGTCATGATCCCAAAGTCCCGGGACCAAGCCCCCACATCGGGCTCCCTGCTCAGTGGGGAGACTGCTTCTCCCTCTGCCTCCCACCCTGCTCTTGTGCACTCTCCTTTTCAAATAAATAAATGAAATCTTAAAAAATAATAATAATAAAAAATTAAAAATTAAATAAGATAAACAATAACCATTTACAGTTCTTTTTTTTTTAAAGATTTTATTTATTTATTTGACAGAGAAAGAGATCACAAGTAGGCCGAGAGGCAGGCAGAGAGAGAGAGGAGGGGAAGCAGGCTCCCTGCTGAGCAGAGAGCCCAATGCAGGGCTCAATTCCAGGACCCTGGGATCATGACCTGAACCGAAGGCAGAGGCTTAACCCACTGAGCCACCCAGGTGCCCCACCATTTACAGTTCTTAAACTGGAGTCTGACTGAGTTACACCACAAAGACACAGCCCTAACTGGATGGTACTTAGCAATGACAATGAACCATGAATTGCATCAGTGTCTACGCACAATGACTGACTCGTGGGCTGGATTGTGAGTCCAGGTTCCTTTTGGCAAAGGCGAATCGCTCATACCATAACCGCTTCTCCCTGTGAGTGTGCTTGGACCTGATCGCTGGGTCGCTGGGAGGGCTGCTGAGGAGGATATCTTAGTCACTGTGCTCTCTGGGAAACTTGCACAAAACCGTCAACCCCCCCCCCACCTCCGCCTCTCCGGCTCTTCTTGCCTTTCTTGTAAATGCTCACCGCCTCATGCCCTCGGCTCTCTGCTCTGACACCCCTCCCTCCTCCTGTTGCTGCCGCTACCCCCTCAACCCTGCCGGAAAACACAGGCTGTTTCCAGGCATGTCAACTCCCCTGGCCCATCCCAGGGAAGACAGTCCTGGGGGCAAAGAGAAGGCCTTTCCTGGCATGCTTCTCCGGCATCCCAGCCATCTTGGACTCCCAGTACCTGGGGTCCCGTCAGGTATAGGACCCGGGGATCAACAAGATACACCTGGAGCTGGTCCCCCTGGAGCTTATAGTCTGGTCCGGGGTAGGGAGGAGAGGAGTAAGCAGGCAATGCCGGTGACACGTCCTAAGCGCCACAGTGATCTGGGGAAGGCTTGGGAGCTTGGGGAAGTCTTCCAGAAAGAGGTGATCACTAAACTGGGGTTGAAAGCAGCGAGCACAATTAGCCAGGCCCTCCATCTCTGGCCATCTCCTGGGCCTCTGTGCACATCCATGCCCTCTTTCGTATTTGGTCAGAAAGGAAGGAGCTGGGGACAGTGACAACGAGAGGCCATTTCACTGAGGGAAAGGGGGCCCCCCCAAGGGACACCCCACCCTGTCCCCTCCATGCTCCATCATTCTCCTTCCCCTCCTAAAAGCAAAGCAGCAGCAACTCATGGCTGAGAGCAGAGAGTGCACCCAGTGCCTCTTCCCAGCCCGCGACTGTCCACTAGAGACAAGCAGCAACTTTGTCAAGCTACTTGACAAAGGCCATTTGACTTCAGCAGGAAGGCAGCCTGAGAAGGTTCAGTTCCCCTTATTGCCATCATGTGGTTACCTGGGCCCCTGGCAGCCCGTCGGCCCCCTTGTGGCCCCCGGCCAGACGGCCCCACAGCTCGCACAGGGCCTGCAGATGTTGCTGCTCTATTTTAGGCTGCGGCGCGAGGAAGTGGATTAGAACCAACGGGCCCCACACCTCATGGGACAGCACCGGGACCTTGGCTGGTTGTGTCCCTTGGGGTCGGAGTCCTCGCCACTCTTTGCAGCACTTGACCGTTTACAAGGCGTGGGTGGCTCTTGCTGTCTTTCCGTCTGAAGAGCTGGGGGGCGGGGGCGTGAGACGTGAAGTGAACTGCGGAAGATCACACAGCAGGAAAGAGACGGTCCGGACTGGGACCTGGCCCTCCCTCGCCTGGAAGAGGGCACAGCTGCGGCTCAGGGGGAGGGCAAGGGCTTGGGGGTCCATTTTAAAGGAGCAAACTCTAAAAGGCTGTGGTTTCTCAAACAAAAGACACGTGTTATGCATCCACCTATTCAGCTGTAAGAGCAATCGTATTTTTTCAAATCCTTAGGAGTCCGGGAGGTAGAGATAGAGAAAATAGTATGGAATGGTGAAGAAAGAAAAAATTTAACACGCGTCTGATCCCCAGTGAAAGCTGTGCCCCCCTCATGCTTGACACATCACTGACACCCAATAAATATTTACTGAATGAATAAGCCCATTAAACACAGACCACAGATAGTGGTAGACGTCGTAGTCAGATATTTTGGTTGAGGCTTGAGTATTAGGTAATGTTGACTGCAAGAAAAACAGTCAACAAACCCATGAAGTTTGTATGTTCAGGGGCAGAAACAGCGGTCTTCCTATTCCACTCCGTCTTTTTTCCTAATATAGTTCGAGTTTGAACATACCAGCTGGGCCACGTTTCCCAGTTATCTATAACCCAAGAAATCAAATATTGTGCCGAATTACTAATGTGCTTCTACACTTCAGAGGTCTGTAATCAATGCAAGACCTTGTTAGGTAAACAAAAAGTTACCTCATTCGCTTCAAGTTCAAGTGCAGACTCACAAGTCAAATTACTTGTTGTCCCTTGTTGTCAGCATTCGGTCTTTAGCTCCGACCTATATGAAAACCTGTCGAGTGAATGGCTCATGCATGCGTGTGTGCACACGTGTGCTTGTGTGTGAACATACACCGTACTTATGTAACTGCCCAGACCCATGCAAATGCCTAGAGTGGATCTGTGACTCCCAGGATGGGGCATGTGCTGGATTCTTATACAGCTACTGAGATGAAACACACACACCCTAAAATTTGTGCAGGTTCTCAGCAGGAGAAAGCCCCAGAGCAGCGTGGAAAGTCACACCAGCTGCTGAAGAGGAAGCTGCCCGAGCTTTGAAACACTTGCCGCGATTGGCCGCACAGCTCCGATAGTATGTCATTAATAAAAGTCTTATCACCCCATCCTCGTGCATCTGAATCTCATTTTTTAAATGTGCTTTTAATTTTTGTTCCCAGACTAATCTGCATCTCCCAGGCCTTGTTGAATTCTGAGTGGAAAGGAGAGAAGACAGGTCACTCCCCCTCCTTTCCCAACCGGCCTACAGGCCTAGAGCACTTAGCAGGCTTTTGCGATACCTAAGAAAAACCCTAGAGTGTTTCAGATC